TTTTATCCCATGATTCATTTATTTTTACATGTTCATTTTTCACACATAGGACATTCGCATGATGTCAGTGTTTACTTTCAGTGGACTTTTTCCACGTTTTTTAAACCTTGCAATCACATATAACTCACATAATCACATGTGAAATGTATGTACTTTTCCACAAGGGTGTTGTATCTTCTTTATGCATATGTATGTATTGTATTTATGTATTTTTTATGCACGTTACAGTGGCGTGGAAAAGCAGACGCAAGAAGCAGAACAGATATGTGAAGATGAAGTAGCCTAATTCGATCCTGCAGCCTTTACAGGCTACACTCAGAGATACTTGATGCAACCCAAACTTAATTTACATGCAGATTTTCCATCCAATTTAATCACATAACTGTCACCTTTTATGTTTTCCCTTATTGTGTTTAATTCAGATATATTTAGGGTGATGTTTAACCATCACGTAACATTTCTGGAGTCTGAGGATGCTAAGCTGGGCGTGGCATTGCCTTTTTTTGGAGACTAGCGAAGAAAATCACATTAAAATTTTACTTCAGGCAAATGAACATCAATAAGCAATTTTTCATGAGTAATATATTTATGGTCTCTAGAATAAAAAAAAGGTAAGCTCTGCAAAATAACTTTTAAAAAAAAATTAATAAATACAGTATTTTAGTTGTTGGCCCACTTATATTGGTTGTTTAAAAAAAAACCTATAACAAACACACACATTCAGGAAATGAAATGAGTTTTCTTAATGTAACTTAATGCAATTAATGTTATTTCTTTTCAATAGTTCTATTCAATATACGTGATAATAATGAATCAGTTCAATTTAATTGTATTTAATTACATTTAACTGGATCGAGAATCTGCTACATCATTCAAACACATGCTATACACCACATTTAAAAAAATATTATGACTTTTTCAAATAAAACTGAAGGCAAAAATGTGTGAACAATGTGTTTTGCTTTGTTCAGAATGAAGATTTCTCTGTACACTGTGACTGAAAAAATAGGCCATTTTACCTCATCTTAGTATTTCAGTCTTTAAGGAGGACATTGGACATTTATATAGCTAGGACTTTTGGACATATGTTGTAATATATTTTTAACAATGATCAAGGACACTTTTTTTGATGATTTATCAGTTTTCACAAAACAATATCAGCATAGATACCACAAACTGAAACATGGCACCGAGAGAGAAACAGACAACAATAAAACAACTACATACACAAGTAACAAAGGCCATCCTCTAGAAAGAAAGAAAGAAACACACACACACACACACTCCAATGTTTTAACGTTTGAAATTAGCCTTAGAGCGTTCACCCGAGAGAAGCCCTGGCCTTTCAGTATGGTGTTTCTAAGACAGAGGAGACTTTAATAAATGCGTCTTAATAAACACATTTGAAAGTTATGCATTATGTGAATACTTCTTTTTAATGGCTCTTTAGAGGCCAAACGTGGCTCTATTTACCTGCTCTACCAAACTGATTATGAAGCATAAATCTAATTAAAACAAACTCATATCATTCAATTAAATCATGTCTGTTATATTAAGCAGATATGATGTCATGCATTCTTCTTTTTCACTTAATTTCCCAATTGCGATGAGAGCCAAAAATATTTTGTGGGGTGGAACTGACTTCACTTTGATTAGCGTCATAATCTGACAGTAAGTAAGGAATAAAACACTTGGGTGCTGTTACAGGAAAATAACAGCAACAGGGTGGTGTGATTCGTCACGATGCCAAGTTACATTACCACCCCGAAGCTATTTTCCAATAACAGCACATCCCAAAGTGTTTTATTCCTCTCATACCACAGCAATTTGCCAATGATTGCAATTTTTATTTATTAAAAAACCCATCATATTGTTTATTCTTTTATAGCTAGGTTTAATATTGTGAACATCCATGAAACAAGTGAGTTCCTGTTATCACTTACGTTACAGCAGCTACAGAGTTATTCCCTCACCAACCTCTCTTGAAGCTAATAAGACAAAAAAAAAAGCATCATGTCATGTTACACAAGAAGTCCTCCACCCTGAAGACTTTTCCATGGTGGAAAATTTCAAGTTAAATTTAAAGCTTTACCTCTGACTGTTAGAAAGCGTTGACACTGGAGACTCCTTGCATAAATGCTAAATATAGTAAACTTCACCATATAAATAACTACACATATTTTTAAATCTGTTTCGTGGAGCGTCCATCATACAAGTCCATGTGTAAGCCGTTACTATAGAAACTCTAACGTAATAAAATGATTAAAGCTTATAGAAAGGTAATCAATGCCTTCTGACCAATCAGAATCGAGCGTTCAGCAGTGCTGTGGTATAATCAGTACTATGTAACTCAGTTCTGTTACAAATTCTCTTGTGCACAGTATTAACAATATATATTCTAATATAAATTCTATGTTCTACATAAATTCTATGAGACATTCATCGAAACATTTGGCCAACATTGATGTTGTTCACTACCGTTACGTGATTACACCCTCAC